TCTTCCTCTTATGTGCACTTGAAGATGAAGGAAAGCTTTATAGAAAAGATATTTTTACAGGTAGAGGTGTTAAGAGTCAGGCTGGGCTTAGCTGATCTCATCTGGCAGAGGTTTCCAAATCTGCTTTTTCTAAAAGAAAATGTTCCCCTTTTTTGTGCAATTGGTCAGTTGGTTTTACTCTATCAGAGGAGAGCAGAGTTTGAGAGGTCAGAACAATCAAAAGAGCTTGTGAGCTCCTCCATTATTGTGAGCCTTGTGTGTACCTAGAGGCTTTATCAAGCCCCAGGGTGTTCCTGTGTGTCTTATGCTACAAAAATGGCCAGTCTTTTATGTTGAGATGGAGATAGTCTGTACGCTATTACGAAGATCCTGTTGGGCAGTAGCAGTGGTCCTGCGCTATCAAAAAGAAGTGATTTTCAATTGGAAGTAGACTAGATGAATGATTAGAAAGCTTCATAAGGCTGTTCATATATTTGCGCAGATAGGTGGATGAAGCTTTGGGGCAAAGTTTCAGAAAGACGAGTCTAGTAAAGAAGAATAAGGAGAGTGAAAACCCACTCAGTCTTTTCCACTTCTGGGAATCTGATGATACCGTGGTTTAGACAGTTTGCAGCAGGCTGGTACCCTGACCCACACCGCCACCCGATCCACAATTTGACAAAAAGCTTTTCATTTGAGCATGCGGAGACTGCCCTAAAATGGGATCTATTTTTCTCCATGTCTTGAAACTCGATTACCACACATCTTCTGTTATTCTGGTGGAAAATGTATGGGCAGGTCATGAAGTTCCTGCTAGGCAAATGCTTGAGGGCAGGAACTTACTCAGCTGGAACCCTGTTTTAGTGTAACAAATAAAGCTCAGTGGGACAGCTGCAGCTGTCAGTGCTGAAAACTTTTATGTATTTTTAATTTTTGTTTTGAGGCATCGGCAGTATAATCACCAGTTTGTCCCCTCAGCCTCCTGCACAGCTCATCTCATTGCTCCGCTAGCCATTGTGCTGTGTATACAGGCTGCAGAGGGGAGTTTGGGCTGTCCCACCATGCCCTTCCAGCCCCTCTGGCAGTTACCCTCAATCCATGGAGCTGCTCTTGCACGAAGGATCAGGCTGAGACACGTGGGTAGGCTGGAAATCAGGAAGCAGCAGGAAGTGCTGAGAAGATGGACAAATACTGAAGAATGAGACGAGGAAGCTGAGGAAAGGTAGAAAGAGGAAGGCAGAAAGGAGCCAGCAGCATGCAGTGCTGCCGGGGGGTGCTGGGAGTCTGGGATGCAGGTCCTGAATGCAGATCAGATGGCTGCTTCCCGCAGCTTGGAGCTGGCCCTCCTGTAAGGGCTCTTCAATGCGTGCATGGTTACAAATAAAAGGTTTTTGTGTAGCACTGACTCTCCGCGTGCTAACATGAAGAACAATGTGAATAGAAGCGTGAGCAACAAGGAGGAGGTTTAATTGCTTTGGGGATTAGCAGCGGTATTTAGAGCCTTCCACCTCTTTGTTCCTAACATTAATCTTAACACAGATTCATCGTTTTAGCCATCTGGCTTGTGTTTGTGTGTATACAGCAACTAGTGAGACAGAAAAAGAACCTGACCAGCAAGGCAAAAGTAAAAATAAAACAAAAAAACAACAACAAAAAAAGCACGTATATGACAGAAGAAGGCATCTTCTTCTGTGTCAGTAGGAGCAGGTACAGTGCAATCATTCTGTTTCACCGAGCTCAGCAGGTAATGAGAGAGGGGAACAAAAGGGTAAGTGACATCTCTTGATACATGAATCTACCACAGAGCCTGTGAGTTAAACAAATGTGCATGTGCTGAGCAGCTTGCACCCAATTGCAAAGCTCCATGATCTTCTGAGATATAGTTAGCCCAGATAATGCGAGAGTTAGAGGGCCAGTTTCAACCACAGGTTGAGTCCTCCCTGTAAATTATTTTATAGTTGATTAGAAAGTGTTCTCTCAAACCTTGTGCATCTTTATTTCATATACCATAGCCCAGACGTTTTTGGAAAAAGTTGTGCTCTCAAACTTAGGAAATGTTTTGGATTAGATGTCTTCCCTGTACCCTAAGTCTTCTAAATACTGATGTGAATTTTCTTGGGAGTGGGCTGACCCTTTCAGGGAGTCACTGTCAGTTTCTCTCTCACTCCAGGCTGCAAAGTCTGTCATTTTTGTCCAGTAAGAGACAAGGTGGCGCTCCCCAAAATCTGGAGTTTTAATTGGGGGTTCCACGTGAAAGGTCACTGTTCTTCTCTGCCAGACACAGGAGTAACCAAGAATGGGTACTTGTGTGCATACACTCAGAGCATGTTTTCCTATTAAATTGACTTTTTTAAGATCTCTTGAGTACAAGTGAGAGTTACAGAGGGCTTCGCCTCTGTGCTTTCAAATGTGAGAGTTTGGGGAAGGAATACTGACCATATATCTTCAAGGAAAAGGTTACTGGTATCAAAGATTCACTCTTGGGTTCTTCTATGGTTTTACTCAACTTTGCTTTGGGACTGACAGTCTGGTTTGCTTTGGTTTGAAATATGCATCACTCTAGAAAGCTTATTCTAGATGGGGTAAAAATGTGCACAGGGAACATGAAAAATAAAACCAGATATTACAGAGCTGATTTAAAGCAATCTTGGCACTGATTTAGCCTTATATTATGTATGTAGAGCTTCAGTAAAAAAAAAAAAAAAAAAAAAAAAACAGGTTTACTTACGTTTACTTCTTCATAACCAGTAACCCAGAAACTGCCTGTAATATCATACTTCTGGGCAAAAAATGAAAGAATTTTGGATATAAATTTCTAAAATAATTGGTTTTGGCATAGAGCTCTGACAGCTAAACATGGTGTTTATCACTTTAGCCAGCCACACCAAGGTCAGTGAAAGAGACTGCTTTATATATGACAGAGAAGCACTTCCACCAGCTGCATTAATAGCATAAGAATAAGAATTATAGACACGTGAAATGACTGGGGAGTGCTGTGTGCCAAAAGAAACTCAGACTCAGATATCAGTTGGGGCAGAATTTTCAAAGGCACCTGGAGATCATGTCACAAAACAACTGGGAGCCCGTCTCCCATTTTAGGAAACGATGTAAGGACTGTACTGCCTTTCAGCGAGACTTAGTTCCTTTTTCCAGGAAAAAAAAAAAAAACAGCACTTAATTCACAATTAGTTCACAAAAGAAGTCTTTGCCTCTTCATAATTATATTGCATAATGACTTCACTACTTTTTAATAACATCAGATTTCTTGTCTGTGTCCATTATCACCAACTTAGAAGCTATTCTGTTGCTTTGGGAATTTCATATTCCAAGTCACTTACAGAACTATAATTAAGAACTTCCACAGAAGACCAGGTGATATATGTATGTTAAGATATTATATTATGCTGATTTAGTGTCAAGTTGTAGATTAATTTGAAATTGTATCATGCTGGTTTCATTATAAATGCTTCCATGGAAAGAACATGTTATTGGAAACTGAATAATTAATAAGCTTTGTATTAACCAAATGCTTTCTGAGTGGTTTGTTGAAAAATGTCAGGACTCTGTTTGAAAATCCTGGCTCTATTGAAGTTGTGGCAGAATTCCCACTGGCTTCCTTCAACAATATTTCTTTATCTCAAAAGCTACTTGTCAAAGCTCCTTAAAGTTCCTGTGTACAATTTTTTTTTGTACAATAGGGGTCAATATGCTATTTTGAACTCCAAAGCAATCATTTGCAGAATAAGGGGAAAGGAAATGAAATGTACAGCAACTTTGTTCAGTTCTGATCCTTTGTGCCGGACTGAAGCGTACTCGAGAGAAATGTAACCTGCTGTCATTTAGTGCCTTCTGCATGTCTGCCCTCCAGGCCATGTCTGACTGCGATGGGAGGGGACAAAAGATGGATACAGGTCCATCGACCGTAGATTCAGAAGTTCCCATAAAAATTCTACAGCTCATGGTTATTTTGTTTTAATGTTTTGATTCAAGCATAACTCCCAGTGAAGGACTCTGTTATTAACTGATCGTTCTTCTCTCCTTGTACTTAAAATAAGTTTTCAGGCTCCAAATCATGATGAAAGCAGAGCTTCAGTCCTTCCAGTGTGTGTCACAGCATTTGAATCTCAGTGGAGTTTATGGCATAAAGATCTGATCCTGTGAATTAGGACATAAATACTACTGTTAGTTTCCAAGACCATTGATCATAATACTGCAGAACTGCTCGGGTTCAAATGGTGGTCATGATTGCATATACACAAGTTTGAAAAATGTAGTGCTTTAGACAGAAATTGTAGGCTTGCTACAGAATTTGCACCTGCCCAAATCCATTTAAAAGGATATAAATACAGTCTATATGAATTAGCAACACCGTTGTCAAACTTGTGGTCAATAAGCTCTCCACCACACGATTAAAGCTCTGAAACATTGTATTATTAGATGTTAGCAAAGGCTAATTCCACCTCCATCACCCCGCCCCATCAAAACAGCTTGAAATGAGAAATGTCTTTGTTCCCAAAATGTAACTTTTTTCCAAAGGAACCTGCTTTCTGCATATTATCATCTTAATAATTGTATGTGAATTTTGAGAGGAAACTTCTTTACTGTGAGGGTGACAGAGCACCGGAATGGGTTGCCCAGAGAGGTCGTGGAGTCGTCTTCTCTGGAGACATTCAAAACCCGCCTGGATGTCATCCTGCACAATGTACTCTAGGTGATCCTGCATGGCAGTGAGATTGGACCAGATGATATTCAGAGGGCCCTTCCTACCTCAACCATTCTGCGAATTTGAAGAATTCTGTATATTATGCCAAATTTTATTCCTATCTTGGTGCCTTGCATTCACTGCATCTGCACAGTAAAAGTCTAGAATCAAAACTTTCTTTTCCCATCTATCTCTAGATCTCAGAATGAAATGTTAAATGGGAGGAGGTAAACTAGCATATGTGGAATTTCAATCATGGAATATTTTATTTTAGATTTTTCCTGATATTAATTGCTTCTTTTTTTCTTTATTTTGACAGATGATAATGAAGAGACCGAGATGAGTGAAGAGACAGGTGAGTAAACAGCATTTTATGCCCAAACATATCACATTTAGGAAGCATGAACCAAACTGAGAACGTTCTTAAAACTAGTTGCTTTGGTTGTGATAAGCAGTGCCAATCGTTTATTGCCAACATTATAACAGTCTTTGCTGTTTTTTAACATAATGTAGGGAAAACCATCCCTGATGATAAATAATATATAGTAAGAATGGCAGAGACTAACTTTTTAATATCATCTGTTATGAGCCTCTGGGTTATCTTTTACTTTTTATTGGTAAGTAGTTTGAACATGAATGGGAAATAATTAAAATTCTACAGTCTCTTTGTGAAAAGGTGTTAATACAGCAATCCTTGAGTCATTTGCAATTGTGATTAGTGGCCATGATTTGTTTGCAATGAAAACAGTAGCAAAACTCTCCCAGCAAACACTTAAATAAACTGTGATTGGACAATATTTCAGAGTACTTTTTTTTCCTGGAGCTGACTATTGACTGTTGGAGTACTTACCTTGTTACCACAAGTTAGACATAAGCCAATTTGCAGCTCATCTAACTGTGTTTGTCCAGCCAACGCCTCTGAGCATCTCAGAATGCTGCAATACCTAGTAGCAAACGCTATTCAAAGCTGTCTTATATGTACTGTTCTCCCATTGTCCACTGAGCCAGTCCTTTCTTTACAGAATGAAGTCATGTTGGTCAAGCATAACTTGCCCTTGCTAAATCCATGTTGACTATTCCCAGTTACCTTCTTGTCCTTCCTCACCTGTTTGGAAAAGGATTCGAAGAGGACATGCTACATGTTCTTCCCATGGACTGAAGTTAAAATGACTGCTTATACTTCTCTTGATCCTCCTCCATGCCTTTCTTGAAGGCTGATGTAATGTGAGCCTTTTTCCAGCTCTCAGGGATGACTTTTTTGGATGATAAACAGCAACATTTAAATCAGATCAACCATCTCCACTCCTCCAGGCTATCATTAGCCTACAGCCTCTCTGTTCTTGGCTGCTTTCTACTTCCCAAATGATGCTGGAATGTGTGGGGTTTGGGAGAGAGCTTTGCCCATGAGCAGAGTACCTCAAGCTGTTTCATATTGTCTGTTACTAGGTTGCCTCCCCATTCATCCAAAGAGAAATATTTGTCTGAACCAGCTCTTGCTAATGGCATGCTTATAGGATCCCTTTGTGTTATTCCTCATGTCCCTACTTGGTTTTAGCTGCTGCTGGTCTTGGCATTCAGCCTTCGTGATTGCATCCCTGAGTACCTTTCTCCTCTCCTTTTGTTGCCTGTCACTCACTCTCTTTCTTTGTTCTAGTTCATGAAGTTCCTTGTTTATGCAAGTGAGCTTTCTGCTGAAATTCCCATTCTTTCTGCAAAACAAGATGGGTTGTTCCTCAGTGGTCAGTTCCTGGACATCCTTCTTCAGGCCAGCTCCTTAGCACATTCTGTCTAATAACCTTGAAGTGCAGAGTCCTTACTCTGTCCCTTACCTTCCCAGCTTTCTCCTCAACTCAGTTATTCCATACCTCATGATTCTTGACGCCCAAGTTTGCTATCTCTGGCCACATTTGCTACCGATTCTCCCACATCTGAGAGCAGCATACCAAGCAGAGCATTACTTCTCGTACTCTCTAGAAATAATTTGCATTATGTATGGTCCAGGAGCTTCCTGAATTGCTCACAGTCCTATTTTGCCCTCACAGCAGAGGTCTCAAGGGTTAAAATTTCACACGAGCATTAAAGCTTCCAGTCAGAAGACTTCTGCTAGTTATTTGAAGAGAGCTCCATCCACTGACATTTTCTTGATCAGACTTCCTATAGCAGGCTCCACCATACCCTGTGTTATTTTCTCTGCTGACCTTCACCTAGAGGCTCTTAATGGGCATCTTCTGTTTTATATGCAGTGTAGCTTTCCCTGCTCTTCTTCTCCACCTGTCTTCCATGACCATCTAGTACCCTTCTGTGATGGTACACCATGTGCATGTACTCCCAAGTCTCTGTGAGCCTGGTTGCTCGGTGCAGGAGCTTCCAGCTCTTCTCTTTATGGAGGGACACCGGAATCAAAAAGGAGAGACACTTGGAAAAAGGCAGAGATTATACCAGCCAAAAAACAGAGGTAAAAGCTTTTGAAGCAGTGTCTTGGCTGCCTAAATTGGCAGGATTGTCCTAAAGACAAATGGATTATGATGATTTATGCAGCCAGTTAATTAGCTTAGAAATTATAAATTCTTTAATAACAGTATGTATGCATTAATGTGCAAACATGGATATACACAGATAGATATGTGTTACTGTGATGGATTAGCACATTCTTTTATAGCTTTCTGGCCTGTTGATTTTATTACATATAATTGTAATTACTTTTTGGTATCAAGATTACTGGATAGGAACTTCCAGAGATTTTAATACAATTAGTGTGATTAATATAGTTGTACATATATACATAAAAGAAGAAAAATGAAGACTGTCATTATACAACAAACATTTGCCAAAGATTACCCTACGGTAGAATTTGCAGTATTCATCTAATGTTTCCAGTTTCATTTTTTACAGTTATCATGGCATGTATGCTTTTTTAAGTCCACTTATTTTGCATTTTTTGTCTTGTTGTTTTTATGGAGATTATGCAAATTACATTTTTAAAGCATTTAAAATTAGAATTAAAAGGAAGTATATTTCCACTTAATAGCCAGTCTTTTCTTTCTTGCCTTGTATCCTTCACAGCTTCATTAATTTAGGTGAAGCTGCATAGCTGCTCTGAGAAATAATCATTGAATTATATCTTTTGAGGAAGATATTCCCCTACATATCTGCCTTTTTGCGTATATGAGGCAGATGAGATCACAACTTCTTCCACAGGTTTACTTGTAGGATGCTGTGAACTTCAACAGTGTGTACTTGGTCCTTTCATTCTGATTTGGAAATATTTTGGGAGTCAGTGCGTTGATTGTCAGCAATCAATAGCTACATGGCTAAAGAGAAATACATTCTGCATAGTGACTCCAGTAGTTAGGAGTTCTGTCATTTTGACTTATCTGTGTACCCACTTTTTAGTGATTGTAAAACGCATTTGCAGGAGTTATAAATGCATACAAAATTTCTGCACTGAGAAGAGTTTTTGGTTTTATGTTCAAATAGTTATCAGTTTGAAAGAGATTTACTTTTAACCGTTTTGAGGGAAAAATAGAGTATCAACATCTACTCACCTCTTCAAGATAATAATTGAATAATCATTCTTCATTCCACTTGACTTCATGGGTCATGACTCCAGCAGATGGAATCAGCAGTTAGCACCAATATTGATGACCCTGTTTTGTTGAGCTGTCCATATCCAATCTGCTTTTGGGTTATTTCTCCAATTCCTGTGGTGTGTGGTTTTTTTGTTGTTGTTGTTGTTTGTTTTTGTTTTGTTTTAAAGAGGGAAAAGAGACCAAAGAAAAGAGAAGAAAAAAAGAAAAAGCAACTGTTGGATTCATGGAGAGCACATGCTTCAGGCTACACACATATATGACCTTTGGCAGAGATTCATGTGTGCTAAGTTTTTCCTAAATCCATGTGCCTACAACATGTTGTTGGCTAGTTGTTTCTGAGGGGCCAATATCTGGCCAAGAGAAAACACAGAGAAGCACAGGGACTCAAATGAAACGTAGGTTCTCTGTATTTGTACCACTTTCAGTTTGAAGAATCTAGAAGAATGACATGGGTATTACAGAATCAATCCTAATTAAAACCTGGTGGCAAGCGTTATAGGGGAAAAAAAGCTGATGCTGGTCTGGTGTCAGCTGAAGGCAGTGGGTATATGCCCATTGGTTTCAGTACTCACTGATTTAGGCCTTGGGACTGGCTAAAGAATTAGCCAGGAGTAAGGAATAACAAATGACCAAATGTGTATCTTACTGAGTGATGTACGCATTATGAAAGTAATCTCTGTCTTGTGTTTCTACCACCCTGAAGTACAGATATCTCATTACTTGCACAAAGACCATTCTTTCTATGATTTCTCTTCAAAATAAATAAGGGAATATCTTAATTGCATGTCTGCCAGGTAATGTCCGTTAATATCTGTGTTAATGTTATACAATCAAACAGACAAGAATAATCATTTGAGTGAGTTAATCACATAACGTCACTGCATATATTGGAAATACTAGAAAAAGAAAAACATTTGAAAATACAAATAGCCTAGTCTTATTAAGTATATATACTCAAGACCACCCTTTTAATGGCATTTAACTTACAGGATTTTAACCCATTGGTTTGTTATTTTGGATGCTGTTTCTTGTAGCAGCTGCTAGCTTAACTGCACCATTTAATTCAATGAGCTTTGATATTATCATATTTCATATGGCTTGCTGTTAGAATGGCTTGAGGCAAAAGGGCAGGTATGGTAATAGCAGGTATGGACTTTTGCAGTTCTACATCTCAGCTTTCCTTTATGAATGATACCCTACAAAAGTAAAGAAAAAGAGCAGATGACCTAATGGTCTTGTCTGCCTTTAACTTCAAGTTTTTAATGCTACAGAGTCATGATGCTTAATGTTTTCAGCCCCATTAAGGGAAGATTATTCTCAACTTTAACTTCTGAAGGACTTAGCTTTTATACCCATAGCTTCACATATCCACTGCATAGAAGCATGCAAAATAAGTCCTAATACTGCCATAATTTTGTGCACAATTGCAGTGATTGCACCTGGAAATTACAGAACCGTGTGCTATTATGAGAAGTGTAGTCCAGATATGGAATAATACTACATTATTATGCATGGACATAAGTTAAATCTCCTACCATTATTAAAAAAAATAATAATAATAATAAAGTGTTTCAGTTCTGAAGCTATGTTCTCCCCAGCCTGTTTGGCTTCACTCCCACAGGGGTACCAAGGCCTTTTGGCCCCCTGTGTGTGAATGTTGCCACGCTACTGTCTCTTGTTTCCCATCTAATAGTTGTTTATATGAAATGTCCTGCTGGTTATGCCATTTCTGTCCCAAGTGTCCTACCTAACCACCTATTCGTTACTTCAGAAACTGCAGCCAGCTATAGGATGGCAGGCCAAAGGATCTCACTGACACTAACAAGAGAAGCACAATTATAAACAGTGCTGTATAAATACAGTATTTCCTTGTACACTCCACTGTGTACACAGTCTTAAACTTGGACACATTTTTGTTGGAGGAGACTTTCTCTTTTACTGAGAGGAAAATAGCAAACATTTGCACACGGTAAGATTTGGAAGCTGTGAGGGATTTTGGAAATAGCTTATTTGGAGAGACACTGTCAGATCTAAGTGGTTTGTTGACCCTCTGTATTAGCCTATAAGGAAGAATAATTTCTACTAGTGTTAGGTCTCAGAACACCTTTTTTACAGATAGATGTTCATGCTCAGAAAAACTTTGAATATGATCAGTTCAGACACTTACCTAGGTGTTCTGTTTTTAAACAGAAATTTGCAAGCAGAAAGAGTTTGAGGTACTCAGCTCATGGGCAAAGACAGGGATACTGTTGTAGAGCAGAAAGGGTTAAGACTTGGTGTTTTAATCATAACAAAAAGCCATTATTTTGAATCTTGCACAAATCCTTTTCTGTCTCTGAAATGACAGAAAACTGGTAAAAAGCAGTGAAATTGTGATTGAAATCTTATTCTCCTGGGATAGTGCCTCTACATCCTTTTGTGAGCATTTTAAGATCCTCTATAGAATGCAGAAAGACCATTTCTTTTGAGATAGCAACAGCTCTGACTTCTCTGAATATCAGCCTCCTCCTTCTCCGTCTTTGTGCTGTCAATTAAGATGTTGGTTGTACTATCTAATGTGTTCAGATACTCCTGAAAGACCTGGCTGGACACTTGCACTTAAGCTTGATTGACATTTGACTTGGGAGCTTGGAGGAAGTCTCACAGATTGGTTAGATGATAAAATTCATCATCACAGGGGTGAGTGTTGATTGAAACACTGCTATTGATTTAGTCCCCTGATGTGAATCATTGCCAACCAAAAAAGGGAAAATAGCAGGTAGTGCAGAACGGCATTAGAACTAAAGAGTCCATACATCAATGTGGTCCATTATAAATATTCAAGTTATTTTTTAAAGGAATGAGAGAGTGTTGGCAAGGAACAAAACTTTAAAAGCCTGGTTATTTTCAGGATCTCTCTTTTGTATGGAAGTTGTTGTTGAACATTACTATTGCTCTTGAGTAACCCCTTTAAAAGTGTTGACCAAGTGTGTATTTCATGTATTTTTGCCTTTCTTTTTCCCCCACAGTATTTCTTGTGGTTACTTCTGCATTCTCAGCAGCCTATAAATTGATCTTAGTACTTGCTTAGTACTTAAAAACTCTTGTTTCCCTCAAAATATTGTATTTGAATCTCAAATTCAGATGAACCAAGGTGATGACATGAACGTCGTGGTCCTATGTTAAGTGCTACCAGGACAGGTCTACTTACTGATAGCAAGCCAAACCTCAAAGCTTTACAGCACAATCACTTATTTACTGATCACTAAGGGCCCTTCGTGCTTTGAGCTATATAGAATTCTACAATGATACAGAAATCTGTGCTGGAAGCAATTTTTACAATATTTTGACAAGTTTGACAGTATTCAGTTTGGACTTTGGGGGCTGAAATTTAATATTCATTCCCTAAAATGAAGCAAGTGAAATTGAATGTAATTGTTCACATGTAAATCTCCATTTTTGTTGACATTTTTAGCTGTGACTTCTTGTAAACTCTTGCCAGCTTCTAAACCCGTGGCAGCTCTTTTTGGACTTAGGCACAGTAGAATAACCAGTGAATGTTTCCTGGGTTCCATATGGAGCCAATGATTTGCTCCCTTTTTGTCTCTCAAAAGAGCACAGTCTTCCCTTTGCAAGTGCAAGTTTCAGTTTCCTCATTTCTTTCATACCTTGTGTTTGGAAACCTTTAGCACTTCCGTTCTATGTGTGTGTAGTTGTGGGAGGTCAGGAGAAGGTTACTGAAGGCTCAGCTGTTAGCAGAGCCAATTCCTCTATGAGAAACTGGGCATCTGATTGCCGAGGGCTTGTTACAAATCCAGTGACATACGGTGTAGATTATTGCATGGAGTATGTATGACAGCAGAAGAGATGGGAGGATTCCCAACATGAAGCAATTTATAATGCACATGTAATTTTTTTTTTCCCGAGTTACTAATGAGGTAATTAGTTTGAGATAATACTTTATCGCAGCATGGCAATAGGGCTAGATCAAGCAAGGTCGTATGCTTTCCTAAGTTTCCTGGTTACCTGCATTCATTTCTTTCCAGCAAAAACCAAAAATACATTTTCTTTAGGCTTTTCCTCCACCCAAGCCCTCAGTTGACCATAAGGAACCTGGGAGGTCTGATGGAAAGTCAAGTGGCAGAAAGTCATTTTCCCATCTCTGCTGAATAGATTCAATATATGTAAGGAATTGAGTTTTAATTGTCTGCCATTCTCTTCTTTCAGTCCAGGCTTTGGTTAAGCAACACTGAAGAATGTTCTAATTAGTGAGCTTGTTTTCATTAAACGTCTTAATTTACAAATACTTTTTATGATTAGTTTCCAGGTTGGCCCCCTTTCTGTGCTAACAGACTTTCTGTGCAACCAGTTTATGCCTTGAAGTCTGTCTTAGCAAGCAAACAGTGATGTGATTTGGTGCTTATGTGAAGATGACAAGATATTCTGAAAATGCTGTAGAAAACCTCATAATTTTTAGAATATAACCAACTAATTATAAATACTGTGAACTTCAATCTCCACAAATACAGAAAATCTTAAACATCACTGGCTTCAGTTACTCTTCTGCTTAGAAGGATTTCCTTTTCCTCTGTTTTCCTGTTGCTTTCTAGCTAACAGGTTGGAAAGATTTTTGGTTTATTTATTTATATTTTTTTTTCCCAAACAGAACATTTCTGTTTCATAAAACTTTCATTTCCTTAACTTTACTTCACTATCAGACTTGCTTCTCTACCTCTCATTTCATTACTAATTTCAGTCAATATTCATTTGTTGCCATGTTATAACACTGAATGGAAAATTGAACTGAGAGGGAAAAATCACTTCATTCAGATTATTTCTCCTCAGCTCCAAAATGCCGTATAATGTATATTACTTTAAAAACTACAAATGATTTTTTTTTAATTTATTTATTCTATTATATTCTAGCATGAGCTTTCTTCACTGCTTTGTGTGAAAGTTAGGGAAAGTCCAGTCCAAGCTGAAAGATAGCTATTACGATCCTTTTATAGAAGATGATGCAGTAATTAATTTTCATAATAGAAAGATAGGCATCAGGCACTGAATAGAGTGCTGAGGTAAAATGTACTCACAGTTGCGTCATGCATAGTAAAATTTGATAAAATACCACAGTTTCCAAATCATACATGTAATATTTATTTATTTATTTATTTTTAATGTTTTAAAGGTTTGGAACAAAAAGGCCAGCTTCCATCTCCCACTAAGTGCAAAGCAGAGCAGCCTGAGGACATGCAAGACAATGCTGAAGGTAGGTGGTCTGACAGCTTTCAGAGCTATTAATCAATTTTATATTTTGGGGGAAAAGTTTATCCTGAGTTCTTACGAAAGAACTGGAATACTTTTATTTAAGAATGTTATTTGCACACACTTGGAAAGTTCCTTTTCACCTAGATCATGACACTAATTCTGAAGTGTATTTCATCTCAGGGTAGATTCAGAATTACAAATGGTATTTTTACTGATTATCGCTGATATAAAACGGGAAATTGTTGCTGTTTTATCTCTAAACTGTTCTGATTTTATGTAAGTAATAATAGAAAATGATTGCATGTTGTTCAGTGCTTGGGTCACTCTGGTTGCTTAAGCTGCTCAGGTAAATCAACTAGCCACAGCAATACACAGAACAATATAATTCTTGCTTTCCTTCGCTACAAGAAAATTTTGCTGTATCCCTTTCCAATCCACTTACAGTGTTTATGGCTTCAAATCTATGCAGTGCATTACGTCCTTCCATGGTCAGAAGTCACAGATGCATAACGTTACGCCTACAGTGCTCTGGAAGGAGCGCTTTTCTGCGCTCCAGTCTTCACAGGGCAGCTAGTCCATGTGTACGGAGGCAAATGCAGTCTGTGTTACTCTAAAATTGGATCAAGGTATCTTTTCTAATGTGTATCTCATTGGGAGAGTTGCTAAAAGACGTTAACATCAAAGACTAATTTTCGGAGTGCAGAGTTTGACGTTACTGTTCTATGTGTGGAAGAGCAAAACGCCCAAATGCTGCAGAATTCCCCTTAGGTGGAACACTTAAAAGGATGAACCTTAATCTTTAATCCATGACAGTTCCTTATCATGGATTCTTTTTGACCTAATGTTCCTAAATTGACACATCTCATTCTGCACCTCAACCGGTGGCTCCATGTTCTTCATCATTTTGACCTAGCGCTGTGGTTTCAGCTCCTAAAATATTCTGACTGGGGTATAGTGTGAGTCATAAAGAGCAGAAAAATGTTAACATCTATCACTTTAAGTAACTGCTAGTAACATCCTGTCACTAACATTGTGACTGGTTGTTAATGGCAAGTACTTAAAGTAATAGCTGTCATCGCCTGGAAGGTGTGGGGGGACCCAAGAAATCTCATCCTGACTGGTCTTCTTTCATGCTTGCTTTCATGCTGCGCTAAACCCATCTGAAATTAAAATACCAATTTTATGTTTGGATTAGAGAATTCCGTGATGACAAACCACACATCGATTTGTATGTAGGCTAAATGGGGTGTGGGATCATGGTGTCATTTTCCATACTCCTAAATAGGGAAAACAATAATTATTTTATATATATATAGAGAGAGAGAGTGCTACTAAAAACTTTTGTTGTACCAGTGTCTTAAAAAAAAAAAAAAAAAAAAAAAAAGGAAAAAAGAGGAGGAGGAGGGGGGAAAAAAGCGTCAGAAAACTGTAAGCTTTTCCTTCCATTGGAAAAAGAACTGATGTTCCACTAACTATTTCTGTGGTTTACTAAATTCAGTCCCCTAGTTTACTATTCCTGTCAATGTTTTCCTGGTGACCTACAGTTCACTTTGTGGAATACAAACAAATGCGTCGGAAGGGTGAAGTAAATAGCGTGGCCATAGAATGATTGCATTACCCTCAAGCTGTAAAATGCCTGAACTCCTTGAATTTGATGCTGCAGAGTAGATTTTGCTGATGCAGAGTTGAGGCCTGTAACACATAATCACTGCTGCAGAATTTAATCTAGCAGGTGACGGAGTCCTTTCCTCCTTAGGCAGAAATCAGGCCTATAATGTTCAGGACTGAAAGTCTCAATTTAGTCTTCAGAGTTGTTGTGTTGGGAAAAAAAAGTAATTAAAGCGTTTTCTGGGGGGAGGTGGTGGTGGGGGGAACCTGGATCAGATGTCGGTGGAATTATCTGTGTCTCTGTTTTGAAGAGGAATCTCACAGCTAGGCTCCAGACACTGAATTCCTATAAAGTTGCAGAGTGGCCAGAGTCTAATGCAGCACACCTGTGAGTCATTTCCATTTAAGTAAATGGGATTTGCACACATTTGTCTGAGAATAGGACTTAGTTTCTGTTGTTCTAATTATTAGCTGTTGGTTTTGTCTAATTGAACGTAATGTTAACGTGCAGCTTTGACAATTATGAAAGCTGTGAATACGTGACATGAACCAGGACCGCATGACCGCATGTCTGAATGATTTTATTTAGATAGGTAGGGGTTTGGCTTCACTTTTAAGGAAGTGCTTTTTTTTTTCTATTTTTTTTTTTTTTTTTGCTAAAGGGTACCTAATGCATGTAAGCGGTCTCAGATAAAACACACTAAAGCCAAACTCTGTCTGAGGTCAACTTTGGTGAATTTTCCTCGTGGTGCTATGTGTTCAGAGTGTTTTAACCTTTAAGTAGTTAACATGCTTTATGTACCCAAAGCTTTTTTTTGTTTGTTTGTTTGTTTTGAAAAAATCAAGAAAAAAGAAAATAAGTAGCTTTTAGCAATAAAAGCTAGTCCAAACACACTTATATTTTCCCCTTGGTGCCATGGCTAGATATAAAATATTTAGCAAATATACACTGAGACAAAGAAAGCACCAGATATTTTTTTTCCTCTACGTAGCTGTCAGTGCCCTTTTAGACAGACAGTGTGAGCACAGCTTGCTGTTTTAGCAGCCTCCCACCACCCTGAGACATGTGCCCTCGTGGCAGCTTGTAAAAACTATTCCACCAGGTTCAGTAATATTTCTGCAGTAATATTTTCTACGGCACGCCAAGCTGGTTCATTGGCTGGAGGTAATGGAGCAATATCTTTTCAGTGCGTGTAAAAGTCTCCACAGAAGATCGCGGAAAGTAGGCTCCTTCATTACTACCCTCTCCGCAATCAAGGAAAGTCGAGTAAGTGGCTGTATGTAAGGAGCTTGTTTTGCAGTAAGCTAAAATAAACACTTGACATGCTAATGAAAGCAATTTTATACTGAACCTCTAAAGTATTAATGGTGTCTGTTATTATGCTATTAGATATATTGTTCTCTGCATTCAGACCGTTGATAGCGAAAAGCAAATGTGAACTGCATAGCAGATTCTCCTGTCAGTTGTTGTATTTGGAGAAGTGGATAGGCTGGATACACAGAGAAACTTTCTTCACTGCCAGGTTCCCTGCAGGATTCCAGGTTTTACATGTGCAAACATGCAGTGTAATTTATTTATTTATTTATTTTCCCTGAGTCCTGCAGGATGCGTAAAATCAGCCAGTGATGATTTTGCCTTTCCCTTGGTTAGGTGCATTCATTGACCAAGCAATTCCAAGCAAGTCTGAGGTTAGAAAAATAGATTATTTTTTGCAGTAAGCTGAGCTTGGTGTGTCTTCAATAGCTTCATAATGCAAGGATGGAGTAATTACATAAACAAAATAGTGCTCAGTTGCAGCACAGCAGCCCTGAGCTAGCACGAATACCAAAGGTCACATGTTCTCATCCTACTTATCCCTACCAAGCAAAATCAAACTCTTTTTAAAGCAATCTAATGAATTTTAAAATGTTCCTTATTTCTCGTCATCTCCCCAAATGGCCTCGTATGTGTGCTGAACAGTGAGGGGTATGCAGTAGTTTTTCTTGATGCTGGGAGAAGCATAGCTGTTTGCCATTTCCTTCCTCCTGGATTTCTCAGGGAGATATAAAATGAAGCCTGCCCAAGAGCTGCTTCATCTATTCCCCTGTGGCCTGCAGGTGATCAATATCGTATCAAAGATGACTAATACAGCCAATAACAGCAGCATAAATGCCTGATCTTTCTCCTCCAGGAGAAAGCCAATCAATCCATGTGGCAAAAGTCATTTCTGTGCCTTTCCAAGGTCAGGATCCTACTTGTTCTCCATCGAGGGATGTGAAGACAGAAGTGGAGTTCTGCAAAGTGTCTTGAGCTTTTCTCCTCAGCTCCTCCCAGGACGAAGTACTGGATTTTTCTGACAGATTGATAGCCTGTTGGTCTCGCATGATCACCTCAACTGAGGCCCAGAGTATGTGTGAGGAGCTGGTCTGTTGGAGTTGCTCATCTAGGATGAACTTAGCCTGCTTTCTCATCTCCTGCTGTAAAGGAGGACAGTTTGATGGATAATCCAAACCAGGAGGATCAAAATGAACACAAATCACCTTTAGGATAGTTGGTAGAGATGATTCTGTTGCCTGATGGGGGTCATTGCACTACCAACCTCAGAGCTTTCAAGGGCAGCATCAAACACCTGAAATGTTTGGCAGCGTCAGCAGTCAGGGCTCACTAGCAAGCTCCTGCCTCACTCCAAACAGTCATACTGCGTCTACAGATGTCAGTCTTCTGATTTGAGTATACGCTACAAATGAGGCTAAATGGAGTTGCATCTTATCTCAACAACTCCTAGCTTCAGCAGGTCATGGCGATTAGGTAGGATTCTCACCAAGAGAGAGGAGACATTCTCACACCTCATCCCTTCACCAAGAAAGCCTTTGTCCAGTGACGAAAAAAAAAAAAAAAGCATAGTCTTGGGACTAGAAAATAAAGTTTATTTTACAGCTTAATCCCATACTTGTGACATTAGTGTAAGGCTTCCCCTTCTTGCTTCTCCTTTCTATACCATGATTTTTGCAGCTTTGCTGCTCACTGCCTTGCTTCATGGAGTGGGGGATATATTGTACACACTGACAAAAGCCAGCAGTGCTGGGGCTTGTGCTCCTTCCCTGATGCTGGGGAGGCATGTACAACAGCTGTGGTGTCTTAGGCCTGCACAACAATGTTCAAAGCATCTTTCCTATGGTCTTTCTAATACTACTCAGACCTGATTGTCTGTCTCTTTAAGGTATGGATTAATATTAACAGGAGTCGACTTCTGATTAAGTTTGAAAATGTTACTTGATTTATAGCAGGCAATTCTTTTATCATTTGAGAAATTGTAGCTACATTTTTTCCTTGCATCCTACAGGGCAGTAATATTCTTCAATAAATTTCTGCTCCACTCATAATATACCAGAAATTAACATCTAGACACATAA